CCTCTGTTAATAAGAGAACCTATGGTCACCCAAGAAAGCTGAATAATGAAAGATTCAAGACAGACAATTTCCTGTTAGAAGATGTAGGAATGGCCTATGACCTGAAAGGATTTAAAAGGGGATGAAACACATTCATGGATGTCAAGCTGATCAATAATGACTAATCATAATATCTTTATCTTTATTATCTTTAATATTGTAGACAATGTTTTTCTCATTGTCTGTTCCACCGTAGAGAAAAAAATGTGCAGTGGCATTTGACTGGCATTAAGAACATTGGTTAGGTGAGCCTCTGGTCTAATTCAGCAGGGCTGTTCTTCTGCTACTCCAAAATGCACACAACAATCGCAACTGATTGAGCAAGGCCTTGCGATAAACTGCATATTCATGAGGCCAACATGTGAGCAGATGGAAATGAACTCGCCCAGATTTGCATGCCCCAAACAAGAACCTTACAAGACATTTCTGGACTTCAACAGGCTCCTGGTGACCATGAAAGCCAAGTTCTTTCTTAAAGCAAAGAAATTTAGAGAGTTCCCAGAAGCTAAGCTGACAAAGGCTGTGCATGGTGTGGAAAGAGATTGATGGATCTGTAGACCTGGAAAGGATGTGAGATGTTGGAAGACGGTATTTGCAAAGAGGGAGTGATAATTTTCCTTCCTATTGGCCTAGTGAGGGTAGAGGAAAGAGTTGAATCAGTTGGCCGGTGTTGTCCAGAGACTGGCAGCAGCTAAGTCTGATGAAACCCCTGCAGCTTTGAAGGAAAGATCGCTGCAATCTGGCTCGCTCTCTCAACCACTAAGCGACGTGCAACACAGTGATAAAAGCAGAGAGCCAATAAGTAAAACTGTCCCCCTGGCATCCATTTTGGAAGCAAGAGCAATTCCATGGAAGAGAGCCGGCCGTGTTTGGCCCTTATTTACAACATTCGTTAGGCTGAGTTATTGCTTCATTCAACATTTGCTCCTAAGTGGGAATAACTGCGGCTGCAACTGTATATGAGGATCGGTCCTCGTGAAGGAAAGAGGGGAAGGAGCTGAAAACGCACAGAAGCCACCGCAACCCTGGAAATGGGTTTTTCAGCTTTTCAGAATGAAGCATACAGGCAGCAGCCCTGATGAACATCAGCGCAGAAATATGGCCCACACACCCAATCTTTTCAAGGAGGGAATTCTCATGTTTTTGTCAAAACTATCTTCTCTGATGGAGGATCTCTAATGTTGCCCAGACAGTTGTCTTCTGCAGCCCTGCTGCCCAAGTGCCTCTAGATGCAATCTTCCAAAGATCTGTAATCCTGTTCCTGCAATGGCCTAGGATTTTCTCAGCTCTTGCTAAAAACTTCCTTTAACTGGAGATTCTGGGAACAAAACTTGAGACCTTCTGCATTCAAAACATGTCCTCTGCTAATAGGCTACAGCCATGACCATAATAATGTCTACAAATCTCAGCTCTTTTCAGTCCTGAAACTTCAAAAGACACTTTGGTGATCTTCCACAAGATTATGAGCTGCTCAGAGCTATTAGACCCTGAGGATAGAGAGGATGCCTTCACACATCACATGCAACTTTGTTACTGAATTAATCAATTTTCTCGTTTCAGCCATGTATTGAATAATAACATAGTATTCTTCTAAAGCCATTAAGTTTTCCTGGGGTTGTTTACAGCTAAGAAACCCCTCCCCTCCCAAAAAGCACAACTTAACCAAGGTTAAAAAGTAATACCACTTAGCAAACGGTGTAAATATAGCTGGTAGGTTTTTAATTAGTCAGGTTCAGCATTACAAGTGGAACCAGATAAATCATAGTGACATTTTAATACAGAGGTAATGGCCAGGCAATGTCAGCCCTACAAGGTAGGCCAGACTAAGAAGCCAATGCCATATAGGTCAGGACTACTTTTATTGTAACAGCTATAGTAGCAGAGTGTCCCTGTGACACTCTATGGAGATGAAAGTTGGACTTTAAAGAAGGAGGATAGGAAGAGTATTGACGCCTTTGAACTTTAGTATTGGAGAAGACTCTTGAGAATACCATGGACAGCCAAGAAAACAAACTAATGGATCATCAAACAAATCAACCCAGAATTCTCACTCAAGGCACAAATGACCAAGCTCAAATTATCTTACTTTGGAGACATGTCAAGACCCAGCTCTCTGGAGAAGGCTCTGATGCTGGGAAAGGTAGAAGGAAAGAGAAGAAGAGTATGGCCAGCAGCCAGGGGGATGGACTCAGTTACAGTGGTGATGACTGCACTGTTGTGAGACTTGAAAGAACAGATTAAGGATAGATCATCATGGAGAAAATCTATCTATGTGGTCACTAGGGGTTAAAAACAATTTGATGGCACATAATCAATCAATCAATCAATTGTAACAGGATCTTGCAAGTCTCAATGTACTTTCCCCCTCCCTCCCTTTATCTTCATGCGAACTAGGAAGAGGCTTGTCTGAGATGTCTTCTCAAGTTAGTTTCGTGATCTGGGCTCAAGCCCCACTTATTGGTCTGTGGTCTTGGTAGTGGCTCTTCCTCCTGTCCTTCAAGGTCATTCCCTCTGTCCTCTACAGGCAAACACTAACCATGTTGGAGATTATAGACATCTGTTAGAAGCCCAGATTATGTCACATGTCTCAAGATGTCATTGTGCAATACAGAGTTGCATCATTTGTGTGACAGCATCATGATGCACATGATGTCATGCACACACACACACCCCTTACCCCCCATGTGGATGCCTATGCTGGAGGCTCCAAGGGAAGAGATCCAAGGAGCCAATTCTTCTTGGATGTGCTTTGCCAGAGGAGAAAGCTTTACTCAATGTTCTCCAAGGGTGTGTCTCACTTCTATTATCCAATAAGAAGCAACAGGAGTTCTTGTTCCCATCATTGATGGAGCCAATGTCTAAAAATTAGGTCAAAAGCAGGAGAAGCCACAAGCAATAATTTGTTTGCTTAAGCAACATAATTATTTCCTTCTCTAAGCACCTTGCACCCACCTTCTGATGCCCACTGTGTGGAGTTTCCATAGCTCCAGATCCTGGGATCACTTGGCTTACTGAAAAATCTTTCCAGAGTATCATTTGGGATCAAAGCATGACCCAGGAGGAAAATCTAATCAAAGAGTTGAAAGGAAACTAGGAACTGCTATCATACAACAACCAGTCCCAAGGAATCCAATAATTTCCCACTGGATTTGACCTTTGATTGTTACAAACATTTCAACCACATGGATGTAGACACTTGTTGGTGGAATTAAACATCGATCTACATATCTTTCACCCTGTACGGTTTGCACTTTTACGGAACACTATTATGGATGGCTGTTTATTTCCAATCAAGATCATGTTTTCTTTTGTTCACCCAAAAATTGGACCCATTTGCATTTTTATTTTTAAAAATCATTTGCTGAAACTTACAATTAAGCAATTATTTAAATATAATTTTGAAATATACTTTTTCTCCAAGGAATGCTTTTTAAACATACAGATAATTTGAGTGAGAATTATGTTAGGAGATTCAGAAACAGTCAAAATCAATGGCTCAGTTCCAATCTGCCCACTTCTGACAGATGTTGATTAAATCAGTTCACGGCAGCTTCATAAAGATTAAATCTCTTTGTAGAGAGCCAGGAAAGTGGCCTTGCAAATATTCAGAAGCTGTTAACAGAAACCAAGACCGAAGCATTTCTTATGTCCTGGGAAGGAAGATAGTGTTAGGAGGAGGTTCAGGCTGGCTCCTCCCTGACTCAATGGGGTGTAAGAGGGAGGGAGGGTAAAACACAAGCACATTTGCAAGGTTCTGTTACTAGAGCCTATCTCAATAAAGTAGAGTTCTAGACTCTCTGTGGAGTTGGTTTCTTGATCTGGTCCACCTTATAGGACTGACAGGTAGATAATTAGCATCCCTAATTCTCCCAAAGTAACCCTAAAGTATTACTCTAAGTATTTAATGTAATGTTTAAAAACTGAGCTGTTTTCTATACGTATGATAATATATTTTTGCCCAGGTTAGAAAACGTAGAATTACTATTACTGTCAATTTGGAATTCAAGTCTCCAATGCTTGGCTAATTTATACTTGGAGAATGAGAAAGCTAGATCAAACTTCTTTAGGACCTTCTCCAACTTTCTTCTTCTTCTTCCAAGCTGTTCCTGGGAAGGAAATGACAGACAGAAAGAAGGGACCTTGCAAGGAAACAGCGTGGGCTTATCAAGGCACAGCTGGCTCTTCCGTGCTCACTGAGCTGAAGAATCAACGGTGCATTTTCTGCTTTAGAAACTAAGAATAACAGCTGGCTCAGCAATCTTTCAGGCAAATCATTTCTAGGGAAGGGAAAATGCCGTGGGAGTCCTATTTCACCTTGGCTTAATATACACAATTGGTTCAATTTCAATTCTCTCTTCTTTGGCATGGATGGAGGAGGCCAATTCCAGAATGGGTCATGGGTAAAGCTATAGGGCACTGAACATATGTGGGCTATCAGTAGCAACAAGCAAAAACTAGCACCAGGAGGCAAGCGGCAGATAGTAATAGTGGCCATTCAGTTCAGGATTCAGAGGAGCTAGGAATCTTGGAAGTTGCTGCCAGAGATTATAGATATGGCTTCTATAACATTCTTTGTTAGCACCGCAGCAACTGCCCCAATGATCTTCCTAGCATTGATTTTTTTCTGCAAGCAAAAGGAGACAAATAACTAGAAAAATCCTAATATAGACATTGGAGATTCTTCTCAACAGGAGTAGGCTTAAATTTATTTCATTCTTGAGAGGGAAAGGTAATGTGAGAAACAGCTAAAAGAGCCAGGTGTTATTAAATCTAACAAACTTTTAGTTAGATGAAGCAAGATGGTACAGTTGCAATAGATACGACTTTGTAGACCTGTGGTTGACCTCTCCATGCTGCTGCTTCCTCACCAACCTTCTGCTGCTCTGACCAACAGTCACTCTCTGAATCTACCCAAAGCCTTTAATTTTTCTGATTCCTATGAAACAGTTAGAAGAGCCTACCTGTGAATCTGGTGAGTTTATTTCTTGATGGAAACTGAGATGATTATGATGAAGATCAGAAGAACAACCAGGCCAGCGGAGATAACACAGCACTTCATTCTCCTAGCTCGCCGCTGAGGAAGATAAAGACAAGAAACGAAGATCAACCAATCAATGATGTGACGTAGAAAAGTATTATGGGTTATATTACAGGAGCACTAGGAATTCTTGGCACGATCTGAGAAGTGGAGAAAACTGGGTGGGTGAACCATTTGATTGGTAGACAAGGGAGACTTTTGCCCCCTAAAAATTAACATAGACACATATAAAAAGAAAGTGTGATTCTCTTAGGCATCAATCCTTTGTTTCACTTCTGAATGTGTGAGATCAGCTGTAGCTCTTCAGAAACTGGCACTGCTTTTTCTACAATCTCTATGGTGCACTTGAATTCAGCATTGTGTGATTTACATTAATAAACGCTATTGACAGTTTTCACCTAATTCTGTCTTGGGGCTCAGTCTATGATGGTTTAAGGGAAGAGGGGGAAAATATTTCCAAAGCTGCTTCTCTTTAGGGATTGTTGCCAGCTCCCCATATAGCCTGAACTGAATCAAATATTACACTTTTCATTGTTGTCTTTAATCAGATCTATCATTTTTGAGCCGAGTCAGGGGTACTAAAAGAAAAAGAGCCAAGGCAACCTTTTACATCTTAAAAGATATTCACATGTTTGCCTGTGACCTTTTAAGAGAAAGTTTCCTTAACACGGAGCAGCCCGTTCCTATTAAATCACTGCTTTAGCACTGCAGTTCGCAAAGGTCAATAATATTAACTATTTTAAAAAACTTTTTAAGTGGGAAATATTGATTTAAATGAGCAACCAGGTTGTTTAAAATGACATTCAGATAGATCAATCTCTTCTAGAGCTAGAAAAAGGCTAGGCTACTGCATGCCGGTCTGCGTTAACCATCATGTGCCATATTTGTAGCATATTCGATAGCCCGCAATTCCATTAACCATACACTGAATTATTTAATTTGGGTTAGGTTTTTTCCCTCTCTCTCAAAATCACGTAAGTGATTCTTGTATTTGGAAACAGGTAGTGAGGCTGGAAGATGGCATCTGGTAGCCAACCAGATTTGGCCATGGGAATACATCACTAAGGTCAAATGAAGAAAACTGCACTTCTCAGGGATCAAATGGAAGGAAGAAAAGGGATAGCTTAAAACCCAAATGGAGGGAGAAAACTATGTTTCCTTTCAACAGCTAAAGGGACAGTGCCTGTTAATCAGGGTCTTAGATTTTGACCCTGTATTTCATAGGTAATGGATTGGTTTGTTGACTTATCACTAAAAGGAAAATCAGAATTACTGCCATTAATTCATTTAACCTTCAAGTGAGATCTCTATTCCACACACACGCAGAAGCATAGATACAGAGGTGTCCATCAGACAAGAAGGCATTTGATTCAAGCACCCTCTGCTGGGAAAGGTGAAGGACAGAGAAGAAGAGGAAGGACTCAGTTGCAGTAGGGATGGGTAGACCATTGGGAGACCTGAAAGACCAGGTTAGGGACAGACCATCATGGAGACAATCTATCTATGTGACTGCTAGGAGTCAAAAATGACTTGATGGTACATAATCAATCAATCAATTGATCGATCAACCAATCATCTCTTTTGTACATGTGTTGCTGTTGCATGCATGTACAAAGGGATGGGGTTTCAACTGTGATGCCATGTCTGCTATCTTGCCTGTTTTACACCCCATCCCTTGCCTCAGCAGATGCCACTGCACAGGTACCAAATGCCAGTCAAGGATTTGGGAAACACACCATGTGTTTTCTTGTCCTCCTTAGCCCTTTGAAGCAAGGTAGGTAATAAAAGTGTGATTTAACTGCCTAGAGTGGGTGGACTTCTGGACTCCCAGAACCACCTAGATGAGAGCTTTGACAGGAAAGGAGTAACCCACAGCTATCCAGATTTACAGGAATGCCCTTATTGCAAGCCGGAAAGCATATGAATTTGATAAAATAATGGATCATCCTTTTGTTTGATGCCATACCATTCTGTCAGAAGTAAAAGCAGACTGATGCAAAAAGTTTAATGTCATTCAGAAAGGATAAAGAATATCTGAACAATCTTTTCCTCTCTCTCTTCTTTTGCTGCTCCTTCCTTCCTTCCTTCCTTCCTTCCTTCCTTCCTTCCTTCCTTCCTTCCTTCCTTCCTTCCTTCCTTCCGGACACCTTTGGGGCTCCTCCTCCACATGAGCAGAATAATGTGAGGAAGGAAGCTTAGTGCAGATGAGAACTATGATGCAGTTGGAGTTTATGGTCTCTAGAGATAAATGTATCCATTAGAACAAATACACAGAGATCAATGCCTAAAGGTTTTGGTGTAGGTTTAAAAAAATCAAATACATTGAAAATGGAAGAGGAATTGGTCCTAGCAAACTTATAGTCTGAAAAATGAGACATGGAATGAAATCACTTATAAGATGTCTACCCATTGCTAGATCAAAGAGCTACGTTAACCAGCAGGTCATTCCCAAAGACTGAAACCACCCTCTGCACATTTAGCATGTAGGTAAACCATGTAACTTTCTAAATTTGTTCTAAATTCATCCTATATCTTCGGGAGACTCCTGATGCAAGCAATTAAGTTTTGAGTCCCTGCATTAGTTGAAGAGAAAACTTTTCATCCTTCCTTCAACTCCATAAGACCCATTCAGTTACCCACTGGCTCAGTGTTGGGGTAAGGGGGAGGACAGACCAAGCGAAAGTGATTACCCCCCAAAAGTGGATTAGAGTTAGAGAGATTACATAAAAACATGAATACTAAATGAGGCTGTCAAGAGAGAGAAAGCGTTAAGGATGAAAGACAGCTAAAAAGATTGCATATGACCCATATAAGAATTCTCGCATGGAAGTCGAATTATGGGTAAGGAAATATTGCAGCTGTGGATTTCTTCCACTAATCCTCTGAATGGGAATCCGATCCTGGCTTTGTGGCCAGTCCCAGGATTGTGACAGCCAGAAGATCACGTCTGAGGGAAAGAACGTAGGAGCCAAACTCCACTTGCCTTATAGTCATTGTTCCACCGATTAGAAGAAAAGAAAAAAAGAAAAAGCAAATATCTCTATTTCAAATTCCAAACAGAGTTAGTGGATGATCTTGAGCCGTTTCTTAAAAATGTATCTTTAATCGGGCACTTGATGGGGATTTGTCTTTCTGTCAAAATAGCCGCTTGATTCATTCCCTGCGATCAGGAGCCCTGCGAGGTGACAAACGCTCCTAAGAACGTTCAAGTGAAATCATTTGCTGCAAGGAGCATGATTTCCTGTTAGAGATCAGTATCCTGAAGGGTAGATTTCCTGTTATAGATTGGTATCGGTGTCCTGATATCCTGATCTATAATAATATCCTGTTATAGAGCAGTATCCTGTTATAGATTTCCTGTTATAGATCAGTATCCTGAAAGCATCTGGCTGGTGAATAAACGGGTGGATTGATTCATGTGCTTGTTTTGTAGCATTTCTCATTGCCCCATTCAACTGACTTTGGGAACAGCACAAACAAAGCAGAACCCTAACCAGCCTCCCCCAACCCCACATGAAAGGATAAACCATAAACTAGATGGTCATCCACAACTTCTCCATGTGGACCAAAGGCCTACTAAAAAAGAATGGTTCTGAGTAACTTCCCCAACCACGGAAAGAGAGGGACCCCTCGGTCAGCGCATTCCACAGTGTGGGGGCTACTGTGGAAAAGACCTCTCTTCTGGCCCTCTCACTTCTCATGATTGATTGATTATGTGCCATGATTATATCCTGTTATAGAGCAGTATCCTGTTCTAGGAGTCATTGTCAGCTCCTAACAACCACTTAGATAGATCTTCTCCATGATGATTCTCATGGCAATGGGACAAAGATTATCCACTACGGCATACAATGCTGTTTTTGTCTCATGACCAGCTCTGAAGCCTGACTAAAAGGAATCTGATAATCTGCTACACTGGAATCTTTTGAGGTGGATCCCCACTCCACACACACAAACACCAGATCTTCCAAACTTCAGGGGAATATTGTTCCCTAGGGCAGGGACTGTGATCATGAACCATGCCAGCACTTGGTTATATACCTTGGTAATTTTATGCCACCATTGATCCTGATGTTCTTCTATTCATTTAGTCTCCTGCAGCTTCTTGGCAAAGTTTGGATCTGCCTGGTTGGGAAGTGGCCTTGCAGGAACTAATCGCTCCTGTGCTCTGGTGACCTCTGCATTCCAGAGATCAACAAGGCATGAGATAGAATGCTCGCCCAATCATTGGGGGAGTCCCCAGTTGCCTTCTGGAATCCCTCTGGATCTATCAGGCACTTGCAGCAGGCTATCTTAATGGATCCTCTGCCTTCAAAGTGGTCTAGCAGGCCCATGTTCTCACACATGACCTTAGCACAGACAGATGTCAATGTCTTACATATTCAGATTGCATCTAATCTGCCACCAAATTTACACAAATCTAGTGGTTGCGTGCCCACACACATCAAGCTGCCAGTATTTGAGATAAGCCCATGGTTGCCACAGAGGCCATGAAATCATAAGCTGAAGTCTTCTAAAACCAGAACCCTCAAGGATGCCAACATCAGCTTGAGATGATGCCTAGAAGCTTGTGAAGGGCCACCTGTGATGGAATGGAATTATGAAGGCCAGGCTCAGGGAGATAAGCGTTTTCATAGCTCACTGAAAGAGCATGGGAACTACAAGAGGATGAGGCTGGCACCTCCGAGGAATTCACGGTGTTGTGGCTGGCTGGTTTGGGAGCTGGGGTTTCAGTCTGGGAAGATTCTTGCTAGAGGCTGTAGCTAATAAACATAGCTGAACTGATTTGGGAAGATTGATGTCAGGTTTAGCCCAAAGAACTCCAAGAGACAGTGCAAAATCAGTTCAGCTATGTTTATTAGCTACAGCCTCTAGCA